TGTATATATATAGAGAGAGAGAGTATGCACCCAAGTGCTAGCAAACATGAGAATGAGGGAGTAGGATCAAGCCTTTTAAGAACTGATGTACTTAATCCTAAACCTGAGCCACTTCTTAGTTCTAGTCTTGCTTTCCAGCTGCTTTTGCTAGAGCTCACCTCCCCCTTGGCATTAATACACTTTCTTCAGGTTGTTGCCTGTGCTCCACACGCTCCTGATTTTCCTTAAACGTCACTGGTTGCTTTTTCTTGGTTTCCTCTGTTGGTTGTGACTCATCTTTCCAATGGTCGTCTCCTTGGGATCCGTGTTTGTCCCTCTTTTGTAGCTACATACCCTTGGTGATTTAATCTAGCCCAATGGCTTTAATTCTGTCTGTATGAGGATGACCCTAAAATTTGACCTCTGTCCCCAGAACTCTAAATTGAACTTCAGGATTGTGTGTCCGAATGCCTGGTCATCCTTTTGTACATCTAACAGACCAGACCGTATGTCCAAAAATTAACTCCTTGTATCTATCTGAGACTTTTTCATCTTAAGGCATGGAGATTGCATCCACCTAGTTGCTGAGGCCAAATACCTTGGCTTCATCCTTCATCCCTCTCTTTCTCTTATATGCCACATCTTCCCATGAGATTCCTTCCACACATATCAAGAATCTGATCACTTCTCATCACCTTACTCCTACCGTCACTGTCTGAAACATCATCATCTTTCACTTTAATTACTAACAACAACCACCTAACAGATTTCCATACTTCTATCCTTGTGTGGCTGGAGTCTCTTCTCAACAAAACAAGGGGCCAATCCTTTTATTTTTATTTTCAACTTACGCAAAACTTACATAGAAAGGTATAAATACTCTAATAGAGATGGAGGCAAAACACACATAGAAAGTGTGTCAAGTCCTCCAATCTGAAGTATATAGCTGATTGATTTTAAATGTGTATATACCTGTGTACATCACTCAGATCAAAATAAAGGACGCTTCCAGAATGTCTGTTCCCGCTCCACCCCACCAAAGTTTATCATTGTTCTGTCTTCTGTTTTCATTGTTTAGTATTGATGATCTTGAATTTCATATAAACTGAGCATATGTAGTATATGCTCTCTTGTTGGCTTCTTTGCTCATCCTCATGTGAGAATTTCTCTGAGGTCAGTTGCTTAATCTGTAAAGATGAGGACAGATTGAGATTAGGAGCTGAAATTTGAAAACACACTGATGTCTAACCCCTACTCACAGAATTTCTGATTCTTATTATCTGGGGTCAGGTACAGGGAAGTAGTGTATTTTAAAAGATCCCAAAGAGAATCTACCATGTAGCCTCTGGATCAAATGATTCTCTCTCTCTTTCTCCCTCTCTCTCTTTTTTAATGCCTGTACTAATTTCTTCCAACAATACAAGGACCAATTGACCACCAGTCCTTCGTTCCTCCATCCTTCCTCAAGTATACACTGAACATCTGTCAGATACCAAACATCATGCTATGTTGCTGGAATTACATGAGTCAACAAAACAAAGTTCCTAGCTCCCAGAGGCTTCACATTTCACTAAATCCATATTTTCATCAAATTTTTAAATATTCTTGAAAAAATAAATAAATAAAACTATGAAAACTCAACAGACTTCTCTACATCCCTATATACCTGTAAACAAAATAGGAGTGAGGAGAGGAAGATCAAGAAAAGATTGACTTTGTCAAATAACGTAGTAATTTTGAAATAGTGGTTTAATTTTGGTAAAATAACTGGTCGCTTATAAAGGATTGACTCAAGTTTCAACTCATTTGCTTTTCTGTTCAAAATTATTTTATATCTAGGCAAATTAAAGGGGACTGAAGAGTTAAAATTCTTTTTCTGATCTTAGACACAGGCATACGGTTTATCAACATAACATTAGGATTATCTGCGTGATTATATAACCAGAATTTTGAATATTGCTCTTCTTTTATGCCAGTTAACTGATTTAGTTAAATCCTTGCAGAGACCTTGCTTGTGAAGATAATTTTCCACTTTTTTATTTGTCATTGAATATAATGCTCCCCCTACCCCAAAAAAGATAACAATAGACGTGTCAATGTTCTGGTCTTCTTTAGGGCAGTGGTTTCCAAATTGTGGATTTGTATTCATTAATGAATCCGGAAATTCACCTACTGGATTTTAACCAATACTTAAATAGTGTAAATAATATTAATTAATTAAGTAAAATAGAAGACAGTGTTCTTAGAAATATATAGAAGGCATCAGAGTGATTTCAGTTTAGTAAGTGTTGATCTGTGAAACTTTTGTTTCCATTATATTTATGTGCATGCACATTGAGTTGTTTATAAAATAGTTTATTAAGGAACATGAAATTACTCTAAATAAAAATTGACCCAAAATATTAGGTGTTAAAGTACAATTTGAATTTTGACAGCTTATTTGGTATCTGATTCAAATCATATTAAGAAAAAATAAAATTCACTTCGACTAATTGGATCAATTTGATAGCAAAATCACTTTTATCTGTTTGTAATTACCAAAAAAGTTTAGGAGTTTTTAGTTCAAAGAACAATTGTGGTTTAACATGACAAAAAATAGTAACTAAAACAGTATTTATAGGACTATTTATCTGGGAAATGTTTGGAGCCAATCTATTTTTTAAATCAGAAATTATGAGAAACATGTCTCAAATTTATTAAAATAATCATTGATCAAAATATATTATTTTATAGTTAAAAAGTCTCCCTAAATTATTTTAGAGTATGCCTCTGATGAGGAAGCTAATCATGTAACGCATTTAACAACATTTCTCAATGCCATTTTTTTTTTTATTTTAACTTTTCATTGTGTAAAAAGTATAAATAGTACCAACAAGCATGATTGAGTTTACAGATGACCAGAGTTAAGTAGAGGAAGGATATTATTTTCTTAAGTTATGTTTATTATGCTATTACACTGTTGGAAAATTAGTTTTGACCAATAAACAAATACTGACAAGTAAATACATCTTAATGGACTGTCCTTAAATATTCATATTAAATTTTGTGTTCGAATACTTATCCTGGTTCTGCTACTTAACTGCCATAGTATAATGAGAAACTGAATTAACTATCTCAAATTGTTAGTGTAAGGGAATATTACAAAACATAATAAATATAAAAGGAATGTAAGCTATATTTTGAAGATTTTTTTATTCTTTCCTCTACTTGGACCCTCAGTTTCCCTTTCTAATTTATGGCGCCTGTTGAGAGAGAGTTGATTGTTTCTAATTCCCAATCTAGGCAGCAGTTTATTTTTTGCTGGTTTAAATGGTAGCCAAAAAAGCTATCTTACAAATGTAATTACAGACCCTTTTCAGTAACACCTTCTTGGTCTTCCAATGACCTCATCTGTTTATATATAATAAAAATAACTAAAACTTAGTCAAGAAAAGCCTGTTAACATTTTGTAATAAATTTTATATGTTTCGGCCAGAAATCTTCTTACTTTCTATAAAAGGGATATAATTGATGCAAAATTAGTAACTTCAGGATAATTATGGCAAACGTTTACAAATATTCAGTTCAATTTGTCTTAATATTAGGCCACAATAATTATTTGGCATCATTTAATTACTTTTAATCAACCTGAAAAAGTTTTTTTAAAGAACCAGTTGGATGGACACAGTGGTATATCCTATTGGTTACATTTCTTCTTTTCTTTCACTTTCCTTCCATATATAATCTTATTTCCTAGTATCAAAGTGAAATGTAAAGAAAGGACAGAAGTTGAAGTAGATTTCAGCACCATAGGTTTTCTTGGGTATTTAGATGTTGCTGGGCAGGATGAGAAGACCCACGTGGTCATATTGTCTTTAGAGTCATCAACTCTATCATGTTTTTGGAAGAAAAATTTCAGTAAAACTTATTTTGAAATGAATCAATATAATTTTTTTTCAAAGCAAATGTGTATACCATGGCTGCAATCATTTTTTAAGCAAAGAGCATCTCATTGGACATGATTTAATTTTGCACAGAATTACATTTAAAAAGGAACATAAATAGTTGTTCATTTTGTAAGGACAGATCCTGGAATCTATTTTTTTCTGTTTATTTTCTTTAAGAGACATTTCGACCTTACTGTGAAGCTCAGCTAGAGAGGACATTGGCAGAACTTTGTCTGTCCTATGCGTAACTTTTGATGAGAATTTAATAAGACAGAAAACAGTACCTTGCCAAGTATTAACTTTAAATCTGTTATTTACTTTAGAATTTCAAGATTTATGGAATACCAAAAAACCCAGGGAGATGACTCACAAAGAGCTGGAACTTTCTAGTTTCCTACAGTCTTTCTTAGATGTTTGACTTTGCTATATAATACCATGACTAATAGTGAGATCAACCCATGAATTAACATAAATTAGCCATTTGGTTTTTTTGCTTCTCACCCTAAATGGCTGTGGCATCACCCTTGTAAATTATAAGGGTGATACCTATATTTAATAAGAAGATTCCTCAACTGTAGAAATGCAAATACAGTTTTTAAAATAAAAAATTTCTATGGTTTAGAATGAAAAAAGTGCTTCATTTCTTTTGTGTGTATCGACTCTTTCTCCATCTTGCTTATCTTTTGGCATACTTACCAGATATTACTAGCTGAATCTCAATTACCTACATCCTTACATTCTACGACTCACACAAGCTAGAATCTCCTCCTGTGTCATTGCTTTAGTTGAGAGTTATTTGTGAAGCAGAAAATCTAGTTTTATGTTAAGTAGGTGGGTTGCTAACTGTAAGAATGCCTTTCTTGATCAGGCCTTTATGAATTGTTTGTAAGAACCAAACTGGACAATGCAGTCTTTATATTCATTCTGCAATTAGCCGAAATAATTCTAGTTAAACTCTGGTTAAAGATCTCTAGTATGAAATGAATGTAAAGTATTCATTCTTTCTTTATCTTTCTCCCTGGCTTCATTCTAGCTCATTTATTTATTTAAAGATAATCTTCTAAGTTACTTTTTTCACTGCTTTTCATGTTGCAGATTGAAAATGTTGATGTCTGCCTTAGCTTTCTAGCAGCCAGAGGAGTAAATGTTCAAGGTCTATCTGCTGAAGGTAAGAAAAAGCGTAATTGTCACAAATGGCACTTGTAAAAGACTTTTTATTAATGCCAGAAATGTAAAGTTGGAGTACATGGCTCTAAGATATAATAAAAGATATCAGTAAAGCTTTCAGAATAATAGCATCATAGATGCAGTGGTTATTATTGTATGCTTTAATTATGTAGATATGGTCCATATTTTGCCAAAATTTTTCTTTACATTACTGAATATATGGCAGTGGGGCAGATTAAAAGACATATGTTATTAACAGTAGGAAGTATTTTTAGAGTCTTGAGTAGATGGATGGGGAGATGATGCTGGATAATACAGGAACATAAATACAGGAAAAATAGTGTAATTAATGCTCAAATATTATTTTATCAGTAACAATTCTATGATACAGTCACGTTGGTAGTCCTAGTCTAAGTATTTGGTCATTTTAAGTAAGTCATTATGAGTTCTTAAATAATTAGCACTAACTTTATTAATAGCGTTTTATGCAAAGGCCTTAAAATCCTTAAAAGGTTTAAATGATCATCACTAACATTGAAATATAGCAAAGTGGAAAAGACAACCATATCTGTCATTCTTTTTTCTGAATCTCTTTTCCTTGCACATATATTTTTAGGGAAACTTTGGAAAATTTTCACGTAGTAGCATTCACAAAAAGAGTTGCTAAAGTTATGAAATATCAAGTCCTTTGAGACCTGTATTAACAATAACTATTTTAATTAGAATATTAATTACATATATGTATAAAATTCTACAAGATATTGTTAAACACTTCTGATGATTATATTTGTTAATGTTTCTACTAAACTCAGTTTGTTCTGAAAAGCCTTTTTACCGACAGATAGTAGAAATAGTAGACAATTCTAAGTTTTTAAACTGCTGCTGCCATTGGAAAAAGAAGAATTAGGTGGCTTCCGAAATATTATGGACATACAAGAGAATTATTTACTTTTCTTAATTTGTTTCTACTAAAATTTCCTGTTATTTTAAATTTATTTTATCCTTTATATGTATATGCCATGATGCTTAATGTTAAATTACATATTTAAAGGCCAAAAAGCTTAGATTCAGACCTAACTGATAGTTCTGTTACTTGGAATAAAATATGATAAAATCCTCCAGGATAATACTTCACTTTCTAAGTGTCTAAAAGTAGGTGAGAGATGTTACTCTTTGTTTTATGTATCTTTTTCTCTTATGATGTATTTTATTAACATAAACCTATTTTTATTTGTCTACTAAAATATACAGATGCTCAAAATGATTTTCTAAATTAATTAGACATACATAGTAATAAAACAATAAATTTAAAAAATTTAGTAAGATCATTCAAGTATATAGAGAAAATTAATGCTTTCTGACTGTAGCTTCATATTACTCAAGCCAACTCTTACATGTTATGGCAACTGTGAGGAAGTTATAATAACTCAGCCTCACTTTATATGAATAATTCCAGTGTATAGTGTGTGTGACATTGTAAACCATAAGAGGGCAGGACGTCTGAACAGTTTATTAATGTTTCTAAATTCCAAAAGAGAGACATAAAACCTTAACCTCACAGGAGGATGTATTTTATCGCCAACAGCAAGTTTTGTTTAAAATATGATGACAGTTTGTGTAGCCTTATTTCAAGCTGTACTTCCATCTCTTTTTCTGATGTAAAAATTATAACTGCAGGAAAAAAAGCTAGGCTCATGTTGTAGCCTACTTTGTGCACTGGACATTTTATTCAATATTAGAAAAACTTACAAGGGAGTTTATGTGTGAGAGCTAGGAATTCCACTAACATTTATTCAATTACATTATCTACAGTTATAAGTAAGCTGATCTTTATTATTTATTAATATGTAACATGAATTAAAAATAAAAGAGCTGGAGTATTCAAAATGGGTATCTATGATGTCGCCTGCTTTTGGGGTGATACATAAATATATTTTTTCAAAATACCTTGGTGTTTTAGAAGTCATTCTAACAGTTAAAAATCCAGCTGCTATTTTGAGGTGCACCCATAGCTCCATCAGTATTTATAATGCACGGCAACCGGGATTGAAGTGGTTTCTTTCTCCAGCTCCCAGGCACCATTATGTTGGTGACAGCTGTGTGTATTTGTCAGGGAAGCAGAGTGCTAAATCAAACAATTAGCACAAGACAGAGAGCCCATCCATTTCCAGGAAGAAGCTAACTCTGGAAAAATTGTAGTTCAAGGTCAGCAAAGAGCACCACTTGAGTAAGCTTTGTTCTCTACCCCCTCCAGGCCTTCATACTCTCTCTGAAATTTCCAAGCTACTTAGAAATGTTAGCACAATTCAGAAAATCAGGCTTGCTTGAATCTGTGACCAAGAAAGTCAAGTTGTATTTCTGTTTTCATAGATTTAGCCTAAGAGAATTGCTTCTAGAATTTTATTTGTTAAAAAAAATCATCTTATATGATACTGTTTTTATATTTTCCACTTGATACAGAAATAAGAAATGGAAACTTAAAAGCCATTCTAGGACTGTTTTTCAGTTTGTCTCGCTACAAGCAGCAACAACACCATCAACAGCAGTATTACCAGTCCTTGGTGGAACTTCAGCAGGGCGTCTCTCACGCCTCCCCTCAGGCAGAAGCCAGTCAGGCCAAAACCCAACAAGATATGCAGTCCAGGTAAGGAAGGGAAGCAGGGGAGGTGTTCAAAATTAATTTATCCAGATACAACCGGTTTTGAATAAATTGCTGTGAGTTTGAGAAACCTAATGACGTGGTTGTATCAGTGTGATGGGATTAGTTGATCGATGTTATAGACATTAAACCACTTTTCTTTTGCTTGAATGACCAACATTTATCACTTTTTGGGTGAAATATTTGTGTTTGTTTTCTGAAGGTGATTGTGGTTTGTATCAAAGTGTGCAGAATGTCTTTCCTGTAAGTAGTGTGGGACAGTCAATAGTTATTCTTTAAAATGTGCCTGTTGAGTCCCAGTCTCCAGTTGTGTAGTTTTATTTTGTTGATGCATTTGATCAGTTAAATCATTAAATCTGTCAAAAATTTCAGATCTGTTAAACATAAGGATTTGAGTGTTTGGGAACATACTGTTTTTGATGTGAGTGTGTGTGTGTGTGTACACATGCGTGTATGTGTGTGTGTACGTATATACACACGTTATGTCTGTCTGACTTGAGTCTATGGGTACACATAGACACAATGGGGTGGGGTGCTAACAAACCATAACAATTTCCTTTACTCTTCCATGACTGCTTTTTCCCAGTTTGGAATTGTATCAGTCATGATTCAACCAGAGAAGCAGAACCAGTCAGAAATACTGTTAACAGATTTTTTGTAAAGAATTGGTTCACGTGATCATGGAAACTGACTAGGCAAATCTGAAATCGTAAGGGCAGTCCAGCAGAAAGGACAAGCTGCGACTGTCAGCATGAGCTGAAACTGCTATAAACAGGTGGAATTTCTTCTTTCAAGGAGGCCACCGTCCTGCTGTTAAGACCGTTCAAGGAGTGAATCAGGCCTACTACCCTAGTGATAAGCTAGGATCATGTCCCTTACTTAACGTCAGCTGCATGGACTTTAACCACATCCACCAAATACTTTGACAGGCACACCCAGATTGGTGTTTGATGGAATGAGTGGAATTTAGTAAGCCCAGCCAAGTTGACATATCGAGAAATGATCACAGAAAGAAATGAGCAGGTTTAATGCAAATTGCCCCTTTGTTTCTAATCAATGATTGGGATGTCAGATCAGCTCTATTGCATAAATAGCTAGGATTGTTTTTCTTCAGGAGGGAGAATGCCCAATAGGAAAACACTCTTTGTCATCTTCTAAAATATACACACCTATCAAACATTTGTAAATATTTAACTTTTTCCATCTCAGAAGCCAAGCCTAAAATCTAGTAATGCCGTTTACCTTGAGTTTGTTTTTGGTGATTAGTATTGACTCAAAAAGTTAAAACAGAATTCCAAAATACATTCACAAACCACTTCCCACTTCTTGTCAAATATTCAACAATTCAGAAATCCCCGTCTCTTTCATCTGTCAGCCTCACATCATATTAAGCAATATTTCTGTCTCTGTACAGCCATGTAGACACTATTTCCTTTGGCAAATTTTACTCATTAGTGAATTATTAAATCAACAAGGAAAAATTATAGTTTCGCCAAAAAATACGGAATGTCTACAAATGCCATGGAGTGATAAGGAATATTTCTTATTACTCAGTAAAGCAGATGTGCTTCTGTGCTTTAAGCTTGTCTGACTTCTTGTGATGCCAAGTGAAATTGTGCAGGAATCTAAGTGAAAAACAGCATTCTCTATGGTGTAAGTTCTTTGGATTTCTGTGAGAATAGAGAAGCAGATAAAAAGGAAATATCTTTTAAATTTTTTATTATTAATTTTGGGGGGGGAGGGTTACTAGAAAGAGATCTAGATTTTGAGAACTGCCAAAAATTATATTTCCTAGAGTTTGGTTTAAGCCATTTGAATGAGAAAGAAGCAGGAATAGTAGCTGGAAAAATACTAGAAATAAAGTGATATTGTACAAAGGATGTTGACTCTGGAAGTGATATGAGATCTCATTTGTCATTGCTTTACTTCACTCTGTTTCTATATCTGCCATGTTGAATTTCTTGCCCAAAATTTCTCAGTAGTTATGACCCTTTGGGGGAGATATTTTTCTATTCTTGTTGGATATGCATGGATATGATGAAATGGTATTATATTTTAAAATATTGAGCTATATTTAATAGGCATGGTCATTTTACACCATCTTGGGGAGAGCTATCTTATTTTTCTCAGTGAAGGGTTATGAAAAGCATTATCTTCACCAGTGTCTTTTAATTCTGAGACAGATTCTTTAAATACTTGTTTTGATAAATTGGATTTAACTACTTTTTGGATTGATAATTTAATAAGTGCAGAATACTTACTGTACTAAATGTAGTGCTTAGGACCCTGTTAAGTAGGAGCTCAAAGTCTTCATTTCTACAGAATTTATTATATGTTTTGGAGAATATTGTATTTCAGACAGTAATAGTTATTTCCATGTGTATAGATTTATAGTTAAATAGTAGATATAGTTAAATATAGATATAGTTAAATAGTCTATGAATTATAATTTATGTGAACATAAATATAACAATATATCTAAACATTTTTCAAAAGCCCGTATTGATAGTATAGTTGAAAAAGGAATACATGTCTATACAACAGAACCAAGATAATTAAGATAGAAAAAACCCCAATGACACATTTATCTTCATTTGCTTGAGGTGTGAGTCATAAATCATGATTTATGAAGTCTTTCTATTGATTACAAAGCTTTTCCCAAGTAAATAGTGTAAATGACTGGTTGCTGTATTATATTAGGTATTTAACCAGAAGATGTCTTTGTATTTCTCTCTGTAGACCTAAAAAAAAAAAATCATAGTACACATTGTTTCATGAGAGGGCTTTGGTTTGTTCTCTTTGTTTATTTAAAATAAGTTGGCATACCTGCCTATATTTCCACAATATTTATTTTAGTCATTAAGAATTGCTAATTTGGTTTTCCTATTTTGAGAATAACCCCAAATGTTTTCAATCAGTTTGAACACCTTTCATTCAGGCAGACATTTTGATCTAAAGGTTGACAAGTAAAATACACAGGAGAAAAAATTAAATGTGGAGCAAGAGAAATAGAGTATGGGTAACAAATTCTCCTGGCCTCCCAGCTCTTTCTCCAGTCTTGAGTGCGTGGTGTGTGTTTGTGGGTGTGTGGATGTGCGCACATATATGTGAGCATGCCGGCCCCTGTGTGTCCTGTGTGCATGTGTGTGAATATTGAAGATCTAGTTGTTAAGAGCACACCTCTAGAATCAGACTGGCTGCCCTTGGATTCCATTTTCACCACTTCTTACCTGTGTGGTCTCAGGCAACTTACCTAACCTCTCTATGCTTCGGGTTCTCATTTGCTAAAAGGGGATTAAAAATGGCACGGATCTCATATGATTGCTTTGAGGATTCAATGGATCAGTACGTACAAAACACTTTGAACATACTTGCACAGGTCATTCTTTTGCACAAAGACTTGCAATGGTGTCAAACAGTCTGGGCTTGCTCCCCACCTAAGGAAATGTGCTGTAGCTGATTCCTTTGCGTGGAGTGCTCTTGCTCTGACAACCCCTTGGCTACACTTTCACCTCCTTCAAGTCAGCTGCTCCAGTGTAGCCTTCGCACTGATGCTTTCCTTGACTACTCTTTCAACACTGCAGGCTGTCCGCCTCCACTCCCCACTATTGTTGCTGAACTTTTCCTTCTTTTCTGTAGCTCCAATCAGTCTCTAACGTGCAATTTACTTATTTACTATATTCACTGTTTATTATTGTCACCCGCTCCAAATGGAAGCACAGTGAGGACAGCAGTTGTTTTTTTTTTTTAACATTTTAATCCCTTTTTGAACTTCAAGGGATTAGCACAGAACCTTAGACATCGTAGGTTCTCAGTAATTATTTCTGAAATGAGTTAAGGTCAGAATGAGTGAATCTGCATTATAGCTGCTTCTCATTTTAAGTAGAAAGACTTTCTAACGTTTGCAGTTCAATTGTGTCATTTAAAATGAAAATTGTATTTATTTACAAAACTAGAATAGTAAAGATAAATATGTTCTTGATGTTTGGGTGGTCATGATACTGAACTAGAGTTAGTTTCAGAATGGTATGTCGTGGGGCCATCAGACATTATCCAGGTGCATGGAACTATTATCCTCCATCCTAATGGATCCCTGACTAAAGTCCTGTTCAGTCTTTAATCTGTTTGTTGGAAATATTATGTTCCCTTTATTTTCTGGCTGTCATTCATTCATTCATTCACTGCTATCAGTGTTACTACCGCTACACAGTACCACTCCTTTCCTAGCATGCGACTTCTGTACTGTGAGATAAGAAAACTAATTACCAAGGTCATTAGCATTTTGGCTCCACAGAAAGTAAGTAGGTAACGTGAGTGAAGTGCTTGGGCTATGAAATATCACTGATAGCTTAAAGTGATATATTTTTATAACTGCTTTCTTCTCTGTCATGTTTGTTTAGACAACCAAGTAAGTTATCTGATCTGGTATGAAGAAATGATGCCTCTAATTTTCAGCTAGTACAAAGTTTAAAAAATGTAATTACAGGCTGGTAAAAAATATGAACACCACAACTAATCCGACACAAACGTATTGTCTTTACAATGTCCGAATCACTAATTTGTTTTGTTAATAAATAGTATTAATATAATCATCCTTATCAGTGTAAACTGATGTTAAAATGCTGTTGAAAGACACGTGTTCTGAATTTATCCTGAGATGACGGGGTTGGTATAAGTTTAGTTGATGATATGTGAGGGCAGCCTTCTTCCTTGACTGCTGATCTCTTTTCTCATTTGACTTGAATAATCCACCTGTAGTCCTATGATTTTCAAACTCGGGAACCTTATTTCCACCAGTTAGTATGTCATAGGCATTCAGGATATTTCTGCTGACCATACTCTTTCATACGTTGTGCTTTGACAGAGTTCTAGTCGACGTGAAAGGTAACAGAAAGTTCCGTTTCACCAAAACGATACTCAGTGCCTGGCACATGAGTCCAGCCAGCAGTGAGCTGAGTTCATGTTATGAATGTCTAATTTCCCCG